GGGGACAGCGGCCAGCACAAGGCTCCCGCGGTCTGGACGGTCACAGGGCTCTAAGTGACAACAAAATGTCCGGGGGAGGCAGCGCTGTGGGCCAGCACCGCGTGTCTGCGCGAAAGAGGCCCACGGACAAAGCACTTCCATCCCTTGCAGGAAAGCTGCTGATGATAAGGACTGCAAGTGTTCAAATTCTTTGATAATAGGTTCTATATAAGATAACCAATTTAGTGCCATGGGATCTTTTACATCTGTTCTCAATAATGACCACTGTCTTGGTCAAGTTTCAGCCCAGTAGTTATATTTTACCTAATGAAGTTAAGTCATCTTGATATCAGTTTCTCATTCCCAGGTCTCAACAGTTGCCAGGACTCGGAACAGCTGCGACACACGAGGGCTCCCATAACAGCCTCCATTAACTGCTGACATTGCTGCCATGTGTCATCACAACCTTAACATTTAACAGGGTAAAGGGAAAAAACCAGACTCTCCTCCTGCCTCACAGAGTGCCCAGGCTCAAACAGTCTCAATCTCATATGAAAGAAGCTACCAGTACATACCAGTACATACCATTTACCTGGTCACCTCAGCACAAGCATTTAGGTTAAAAAAAAAAACCCAAACAACCAACCAAACAAAAAACCACACCACACAAAACCAATAAAATCATCTCCTAGAAATAAATTCAATGAATACTGAGAAAACATATCATTAACCTATTTCCTGAAGGGTACTTAAAATTTTGAAGTTTCCATTTTTCCTATAGATGCTTCATGCTGGGATTAAAAGCAATATTCACTTTTTAGAATTACACTGTTTGCATTTCAGGTATCACTGCTCTGCTGCCTGCATATACACGTTACCTGAAGTTCACTCAAGGGTGATACTAGAAGAAATTAAAGGCGACTACACTATTTAGTGTGGACTCATCTGCCAGGACTGTAGCTTTGAGCTTATGGTACTTTCTCAGTCTCTGGACACTAACAAACGTATCTCACAGTAGAACTATATTACACTGTGGATCTGATCCATTGCTGGCATCTGTTTAAGAATGAACAAACAGACAAAGAGATTATAAATATATAACTGTATTTTATTTTTAATATTAAATATTTTTAAATTACAAGCAGTTTCTTGAATCACACTATGCATGATAATCAATATACAGTAGAAATTACAATTTAAAAATGTACACAATTTAAAGACATTTTGACCTGAAATTTCATTAACTATGATATATTGCCATAAACCTCATACCTGTATTAAATTACAATAGGAAAACCTCATACCTATGATTTTGTTACATAGTTTCTCATTTACAAATAGAATTAAACATTATATATACACACACATCAGTACCATTTAAGTTACACCTACATCTGTGCAAGTTCAAACAATTTCATAAACAAAACTAACTGTAAGTCATATTCAAGTTTCTGAAAAACAGGCTGCTGGTATTACAAATACTTATTTTCAATAAGTTTATATGATGTTTGACTCTCCTCTAGATTTTTTCCAGTCTTGTACCAAAACCATTAACATACAAGGATATTTCTGTATGACTTAAAGCTGAAGTAATTTTGTACACTCCATTCTTATTTAAGGCTATTTCTTATAAGGCTAATATACTTGGATTCCACCTTTCACCAACTCCAACAAAATAGCCATGTCACTAACACCTGACAACGCTGACATTTTAGCATAGTGCTTAATCATAAAAAAAAGTCTTTCTATTAACCAGCCTCCTCATGAAAAAGATCGAGTACTACATAAAAATCTGCTAAAAATACTGATAAAAATAATGAGGCTTAAATGGCTTTCATTAGTGCATCAACAAGGATATGAAAAAATGTTTAATCCGCTCATTTCCATGAAAATGGCAGTTTCCATAAATGCAGTTACAGACGCAACATATCTGCAGCCTGGGGATTTGGGAGAGTACAGGTGTTCCCATTAAAACTGGACACTCTTCTCACACACTGTTGGCTTCTCACTACAGATCATCGTTTCTAACCAACTTCCTTAGGTGGGAAAAAACAGATCTTTTAAATAACTTTAGTAGCCGAATTGAGACAATGCCTTCAGTACTGAAATAATCAAGGTATTCTACTAGAGAAGGAATTAAAGTGTAACCAATCCTCATAATAAACCATTGAAAATAGATACATGTACTTCTAAAACGGAAACCATGCTGAAGTAGCTAGCGCAAGATATTACATACAGTTTAACAAATTTTTTGTAACAAATCCCCTTACTATAATGTACCATGTTGGAATTACCGATTCATCTTCATTGTGCCACTGACTGCTAGGCAGGTATTTATATATTGCTAGTAGCTGATCAGATTTTTAACTATAAATTTTTCAAAAAAAGACCTTTTATATTATTGCAATCCAGCCTACTGGATTACCGAAATTAAAATTCATGTTTAAGTGAGGTGAGACAACTTTAAATATTTCTTTCTCTTCACTGTACAGCTAAAAAGAACATTACTTTGCTTAATATCATACATATCCCAGCTTGTTTTGGAAAAAATACTCCTTTGGAAATTCATTAGCAATGAGTCCATTTGGACAAAGGAGTAAACTTTCACTTCCTATGTAAGATTTTCTTTAAAGCTGGGTAAAGAATAAAAACCTTATATTTCCATCAAGCAAAGGAAATTCCTGATGTGAAAGATAAACATCTGATTTTCCAGAATTATAAGAAACAAAATACACAACCAAATTGTAACTTTCTGGAGTATAAGCTTTTATTTAACATTGGACTATATTTTAAATCAAATTATTCCAAATTAAGGCTGAACTCCAGGTCTGATATATTTTTTACCATGCAAGGCAGATAGGCCCACATATTCTTTGCAGACCACTATGGAGTTTCATTCTTAGTTTTGATTTCCTATACTTACAAGTACAGTGAGAATTATAGAAGACAGATAATCTAGCTGTATCAAGGAGTTTAGTGGTGGAATAATGGAATTTCTAAGCAATGTTTTGTGCAGAAAGTCTATTACTTGTATTTTAAAATATTGAGAGTAGCGCACAGCTTCCTTAAACCCTCTACAGTATATACTGTAAGCCTGTATGAAGAACTACTTGGCTTTGCCTCTTAAATCATGTTTTGGGAAAAGTCCATAAAAAATTCAATTCCTCACTTCATTCTGAAGAACAGTTCTGGCTAAATCTGAACCCGAGTGCCTCATCAGAAAAAGTTATCTCAACAACACATTGGCAACTTGAAATAACATTATAACTTAATCATTCCCTTTTGATCGGCATGGAAACCATTCTGGTTAAGGGCTAAATAATGCTGGAAAAAAGCAATTAACATATTCCCGTCATTTTAAAAGAAACCTAAAAAAAAAAAAAAAATCAAAATGCATATAGAGGTATACAAAAACAAACTTCACACATCTGAAAATATCTAGTCCTCCCATACTTCACGTGACGAAAATTCTCTTGTGACTGGATCTGAACACAGAGCACTTGGACCACCATTATAATGAAGCCCCACCAAAACAGCCACTAAAATACAAAGTACTTTAGTACACTAAATACAAAGCCAGGTAAACTGTTCCTATCAGTGTTTCCTACAGATCCGCAGCTGCATAAGGCATTCCAAGAGGTCAGGGATTTGTTTCTCAACTGAACTCACTTTGGAGTAATAATTGAGGATTTAATTCTTTTCAAGCAGTTTAAAGGATTAAACTAGCTAAATGCATGGCAGAGTATGAAGGTTAAAAAACCCCATATTGTATTCCCTTCCCTACAGACAGCTTCAGAGCAAACTTTACTGTATCTTGGGTCAGTATGCATTTCAAGATGTACCATGGAGCCTTACAGACATCTTAAAATAAGTCTGTCCTTATGAAGGGTGCAAAATTGGGCATTACCCAGTAATCTAATCCTTAATTGTCATAACATCACTGAGAGGTAGATTTACCACAGGCCTGAATGGCAGCCCCAATCTGCAGTCAGCAGAAGAGTGAGCTTCAAAATTCACAGAATGTACAACCGAAGGGCCAAGTGTGCCCAAATCCAGTCTACTGAAATTAGTCTTTTTGTAAGAGTCAAATTCCACAGTTTTGTACAGCCAATTTTTCCTCTTCTCTCTCCAAGGCAGAAATTGTAGTAAAAAGTGGAAGGCCCTTAATTATGATATAGTCAGATGCTATTACAGTTTAAGCAGTCAGGATCATATTCAGGAATTAAGAGACATCATCTCTTTCATTTAAAATTCCAGAGTTATATGATATATTCTTTTCCAGTTTCCTATAAAACATGAACACTAACAATCAATCTATAATCTTTATCATTTAGAAATGGTACTGAAGATTAAGATTTCAGCACGTATAACATAACACTCGGAAGTTAGGTATGTTTTACAAGTACCGTGCATAGCAAACGCTACAAAAAGGACAAATTAAACTGGACAACTGGGCCAATTCAACTTGTCTTATTCTTCTTGAAAGATTTAAGATTTTGATTCTGTACATCATCAGGAAATAAAGGAAGAATAATCCATAGTGCAATTGTAATAAGCAAAGTAATATGTAGTGATCTATTTTTGAATAAATATGGCTCACTACTGATCAACTATCATTCATACAGTTTCAGCAAACCCACCTGTTGCACAGGACAGTTATACACAATTCTACAACAGGTGTATGTTCAAATAGATAATGAAGTACATGGAAAAATATAAAAAGAATATTATACAATCTCATACATAAACCAGACTGTAGTGTAATTGCTTTACATGTTTCTTAAGTTATCTGAAAAATACTTCAAGTACTTGAAAACAGCGGCAGAATCATCTTTCAATGAAAAGCAAAATTGCACTGATTTAAAAATACAATACAAAGTTAAATACACATTCAAATTAATGTCCTGATTTAACATTGCTTTCAGTGTTTACTTTCATTTCTTAGTACTTCTTGATTACCTGTGTTACTCTAGGAGGATCCAGAGTTTAGATAAAGAAGTTTCAAAGTCTGTGTGTTTTATGTATGTAGTCCAAGGAAGTTCTAATTAATTTAATCTTTTTCTCCATCCTCACTGCTTCCTGTTAGTAGAGGAAAGGTCATAAGATACAGTGAGATTCTCAAGCACAGTCCTCAGTTCTTTGCAAGACTATTCCTAGAACTTGGCATTCTGCTA